TACAAATACTTAACAACAGTAAATTAAGTGAACATTATAATTTAGTTGATATTAAGTGAGACACAGAGAGACACTATCTGTTTGCTCAATAAATGTGTTTTGTCTTGTTAATTTGTAACATGTGCAACGTATAACTGCCCAAAGGCAAAGCTAGGAAAAAGGTGAGTATCGAGTTAGCATGGTGGTATCCCCGCGGTTCAGTTGAAAGAAGTCAATCAAACCCACCATGCCACGGCTCACCCGGCAGAGATACAGGGAAGCTGTATACTTATATCAGCACGTTTGTGTTGTAGAAAGGAGATAACTCACTGAGATACTTATACCAGTTGAGATACCGCTTGGTCAAACGTTTAGGATCTAAAAGTGAAATTATCTAAATGGAAACGTTCCATTTTCACCCCTGGAATTTGTTCTTTCAGATATGTATAGTATGGGAAAGGCTTAGACTTCCTTGTATGAAGATTATTATAAGAAACTTTTGATGTCTTTACAAGACAGCTTTGAGATACTTTGTTTCCAAAATGGATTATTATGTTGTCGTTGTTTTTAATTTTTAATTGTTCGATAGATATTCATTTGTTCATTTATAAAATTAAAAGAATAAAATCCAAATGGAGCCAAGATCAATGCTTAATTGCAGAACTGAGGCCATCTTCGACTTGCAAAATAATTCTAGACTTGAATTGGATTATTTATGTTGGTGCCAAGTGTTGTATTTATACTATATATTTTGGTTATTTCAGGTATACTGTATAATTTTTACTGATAAGTCTATGAATGTACCGGGTTTCCGGGTGTTATTGGAAGTCTATTTCCCCTGCCTCAACTATGCCGCCGTGGTTGTTTTGGAATTTCCTGCCTGATAAAACAAGGAAAAAGAGGTTGGTAATTACCTGGTAATGTTCTGAGGAGTGACATATTTTTAATAATATCCGAAAAGCTTTTCTTTGTCCATAATATATGACAACATCTCCTGTCTCACCTTCCCATGGGTGGGTTAGATCAAATGAAGCACGTAAGGAGAGAAGTTCAACTTTTCATGTTTTGTCAGTTGAATGTTATTTTACGTTACAGTCAAAATAGTTCCACCTACTTCATATTGAAAATGTCACAAGAAATCCCACGGAAACACAGCCATTTTGTTCTGGGACTTATTCTACTCCGGAATCCTCACGGGAAGACAGACATTTTGTACTGAGCCTCCCAGAGTTTTCACGACTCAACAGAGGTGTGAATCCAATATCTGACTGAATATCTGATGCAATAGATTGTATCACTTGTTGCAATAATGAAACAACCTTTGGCTATGTTTCATATTAAACGACTAGTTAATGCAACTTTACGGCCTCGATATATCCAAGTAGCGTGGTCACCCCACAAAAAAAGAACATAAAAAATCATAACTGTGTTCCCATTGTTTTTTTTATTACTATTCATGGGTAAAGATCTTTATATAAATGCATACTGTACAAGCTGGACTCACGAACACACAAAACAGAATATCTCACCAAACAAATAGTTACACGATGGTGAATATGAAATACCTGCGAAGACTGACATACCTGAAAATTGCACATTCGCCAATAACCATAGTTCATCTATTAATACATGTATTTAGATCAGATTTGTAAAGTCATGAAATATATTGAAGAAATGTTTCTCATCACAGTGCGGGTCAAAGCAAAACATTCCTTGTGAACGATGTTTCGTCACGGCTACGAATCACAGTTGGTTTTGTAGGGTAAAGACATCCGATTCTAACATTGTCTGTAAACGCCAAAGTGTCCGGATTTTAACGCAAGAGCCATCTTTCCTTGAATAAACTCAATCTCCTATCGTGATTAGTACATGTAATTAGTTTGTTTGAACCGAAGAAGCTGATGAAAGTCTGGTGATCCGCTATCTTAATAATACTATGACGAGAAACATTTTTGTCCAATTGCCATTATTGTCAAATGGTCCAACCATTAGCAGATGACGACAGGTTATTTGAATAGAAAATAGTTTTTTTTTGTATATCAGGAAACCCATTAATGAGGATAGCTTTCATACATACATGTTATCGACACACCGTTCCGCTTCTACACTGTGGCAGGCAAGGGACCGACCATTTCATTTTCTGCCTGTGGGCTGTTTGTTGTTTTTTGGAGATTTTCGGTCGCTGCCTCAATTGATTCAATCCTGCATTTTATTAACTTTATCCCCCTAAAATATTAAATGGTCGGTCCCAAAGATAATGAATACATATGCAGATGTTGGATGAATCATCTGGTTAATATACCCCCTCACCTTTGTTCATTATATAAAACGACCGCCTCCGTGGTCTTGTGGTAGAGCGGAAGGTCGAGGGTTCGATCCCCGCCGCGTCATACGTAAGACGTTAAAAGATAGTACTTGTTGTTACGCTGCCTTGCGCTCGGCATTAAGGGGCTAATACAAGGACTGGTCTGTTAGGAGTTAGTATACTCTGTCTGAGTAGGATATTCGTGTTAAACTGCGACATGGTATCTCGGTGGGCTAGCACTGAAAAAAACAGCACTAGTCCGGACTAGTGCAAGCACACACACACACACACACACACACACACACACGCGTGCATGCACGTCGCGATGTAAGTGCAATAATCGAGGATCATAATTGGGAAGAACCCGGGGATCAAAACCAGAGAGTACCGAGGCTCAAAACCGGTAAAAACCCGAGGCTTAAAACCGGAGAGAACCAACAACGAGCGGATCCTGGCACGGGTGATCATTATCAGAAAAAGTGACTTCTTTTGGAACAAATATGATGACTATGAAGTTGATATTCGATTTTAATTGTGCCCGAAATATCGAGGCCAGTTTTTTCCCAACTACAAACATGTATCACTGTCGTGTTTGTAGCGCGACGAGCATGTTTTATGTACATGTATCTCTGAATGTGATAAATACTTAGACAGTTACAGAATGTTAATTCAGGTATGTAAACTCAAAGGAAAATGTAACTGTGATCCTAACGAGTTATTAATAACTGTACATCAATACTAATTATGATGAAATGGACAGTATGACTATACAGATCGACCATTCACTTTTCAAGACAAATCAGGGTACTTTCATCATGTTATACATTTGACTGAGGGCAAAAGAGTCAAAAGTCACACCTCAATTTTTCAGATGTTAAACAATACGAATACGGAATTAAGATAAGCAGATATTTCACTATCCTATCGTGTGTAAAGAACAAGAATATTGCAAGATATATATTTCAGATTTTTTTAAAATACATACTTTTGAAAATTCATCTTGAAAACTAAAATTAAACAGTCAAACGCCAGTTCTTAAAATCTTCAGAGTGAGTATGGTTTTACGCCGTTTTAGCAATATTCCAGCAATATCACTGCGGGGGACTCTAGAAATGGGCTTCACACTTTGTATTCATGTGGGAAGTCGAACCCTGGTCTTCGGCGTGACGAGAGAACGCTTTAACCACTTGGCTTCCCCATCGCCCAAATAGGACGGAAAGGAGTTCTCCAATATGCGCCTCTAAACAATCGCCATATAGAAAATATAAACAGGGCAGTTACTTTTGCCTCTGAGTATACATTCTGTTAATGCCTTTCTGCTGCCATTCAATGCCTGGCATCTTGTCTTGTCTTAGAGAGTGTACACAGAGACGGTCATGGCGACACGTAACATGGGCACCAAATACAGGAACCAGTAGGTTACAAACACAAGCTGCCTAGCTGGACAATTAACAGTATGAAAAATGTTGAAGGATCATATTTCTCAATGGTTTTAATTCAAAACAATGCATATTTGTACAGTTAAACCAGGAACTGCATCTGAGTCATCAAGTTATTTGGCCATAGGAAACAATCTTTGGCACGGTTAAATGACTTACATGCGTGTCTGTAGGGGCGAGGGCCTATATAACAGCTATGGCTGGGAGGGTGTGGCAGGAGAAGATCGTCGCGACATGCGTGGACATGAGAAGATCGTCGCGACATGCGTGGTTGGTTGGTTGGTTGGTTGGTATTTTAACGCCGCACTCAGCAATATTCCAGCTAGTTGACGGCGGTCTGTAAATAATCAATGCTGGACCAGACAATCCAGTGATTGATATCATGATCATCCATCCACGCAATTGGGATCGATGACATGCGTCAACCAAGTCAGCGAGCCTGACCACCCGATCCCGCTAGTCGCCTTTTACGACAAGCATAGTCACCTTTTACGGCAAGCATGGGTCGCTGAAGACCTTTTCTACCCCGGATCTTCACGGGTCGCGACATGCGTGGAATGGCTATGTATAAGACATTCAGTCTATGTTGACTGGTTTGGAGAAGAAGGGCCATGGAATGGGACAGAGGAATGAACGAAATTTTTCAAATACAGATTGACCAGGTTATAGGAAAAATGTTGTACATTTCCAGACATTGTCTGAATCGAGTCCAAGGCCAATACGAAATATATTTTTCGTTGTCATGTGCAGTGGTAATTGTTTAACTTCTGGGTGTAAGTTCCAGTTTTGGTTCAGTTCGATGTTAGATGGTTGGAGTATGGTGAAGAGAGCGTTATTACAGAGGCTAGATATCTTAACGCTTTTGACAAGTGTGGTCCTGGATGGGCGACATCGCTTTACATCTAACGAATTGTCCATCAATGTAGACGGGGGCCTGGGCTTGAGATGATAGTACCAGATATGGTTTGAGTCGGGTGGATGAGGGATGGGTGTGAGTTTGGCTGGATGTGGGGGTGATGGTTGGGAGTGGGAATGTATGGGGGGTGGGGGGTGGTGATGGTTGGGAGTGGGAATGTATTGGGGGAGTGATGTTTGGGAGTGGGAGTTGGGTTGACGTATCACCACATCCGCTTGGATCAGGACTCGTCTAACACCTGGACAGTTGGAATGAAGAAGGTTGAGCAGCTTCTTTAAGGCACAGAGTGAGAGGTAGGTACTACATCAGCTGTGTCGGACAGTCGTATCAAGGTCTCACGTTGTAGTGATACAGGTGACTGTCCTGATACCGTCCTCACTACAACCTAAACACCGCGAGGCTACCGGGACTTGGAGGTATGACGTTTTGATATGACTGTATGTCAAGTCACGAAACCCCAGAGCCCCACTTAACAAAGCCTAATCGCTACTCCTGGGTGCTTTCATGTAAAAAAGGTAAAAGATCGGAGTAATGTTTCGTTATCATATACCATATTAATATCGCATCAGTTTAGTTGCCTGTGTATGGACGTTTATTTAAAAATGTATCAAAGCTAAAATTATTCTGAATGTTTCTTCAATTTAATGAGGAACAATGTGTTAATATGTTGTTAAACACGAGTCTTTTTGAGTCATTGGACACAAAAGGAAGCAAACATGTCTGATCCAATCACAAGGTGACTGGATCTAGTTTGTACACACACACACGCATATTATTATGATGATATACTATCGAAAACAGTGATGAAGGATAAACGGGTTATTATCATGTAACCATGATGCGAAATCATCACGATTAATCACAGCACAGTACCGCGACATAACTTCAGCTGCCACATATGGCACAATCTTACACATATACACATGCCGACCTATGTTTAACATAGACAAACCATAACGATCTGCTACAGCTACTTCCAATTACGCATACGCCACGATTAAAGCATATCTCCCTTCAAATTAGCAAAAATATACTGTATTTGCAAAATCATATGGGTTGATGAATACTAGTATATAATGTACCGACTGACCGATGACGTCATGGGTGTACTGTCATATTAGTGATATCACCCTTTGATAATGTGCGTACGCACGTCTTCCTACGAAAATACCCACTGGCATCCGGAAGTGTCAAGTTTACATGAACATGAACATGTACTGAATTTACGACATTGTATCTTTTTAATGGAATCTGGTGTACAGTTGTACATGGCCTAAGCCTTGCACACTATCAATGTACACACATACATAGATACATACACTGTACAAATGACATAACAGCACCATTTGTACAGCATAAATCATATTTATCATATAATAAAAATATAAAGTTTGGGTTTCTCGACAGCGATACTTGCCTATAAGGCTGTATGACTCATTGATCAAAGGACCTTGGTATTAAAAATAGGGGGACTGATTTTTGCCCCTCTTCCGCAACATAACTCGGATACCTTTCACACCAATCAAATCTTTACACCAAACACAATTTCCAGATATATCACCATGCACTAATATAATGCATTCATCCCATATAAGCAAGCTCATTAAGAATCTTCTTTTCAACATCTCACAACAAATTATAACAGTAAGTTTCTAGTTTGCAGATGAAGTCGGGATTTCAGTGACGACTGCAAAGAATAAAATACTCATTCATCAGAACAAGTTCGTTTACTTGGACCCGAGAATGCCTTGAGATGGATCCACCTGGTACCAAGGCTTAGATAATGGACCTCTCTGGTATCAAGAGTTTGATAACGATGGGCCGTCTGGTAGCATGACCTAGATACCATGGACCCGTTACCAAGGTTTTCATGGCATGGACCCGTCTGGCATCATGGCTTAGATAACATGGACCCTTCTGTACCAAGGCATACAACATGGACCAATCGTGTTTCAAGGCTTTTATAGCAAGGACCTGTCTGGTAATAAGGTATATTGTCTAATCTGTGTTCTTTGTAAAATAGAGCTCGTCTTCATCAATTTACAAACTAACCTAAAGATGTGAATACCCAGTTGATGCAGTATGAGATTGCTCTTCGAGATCGAGTCCATCTTAATGACATCGTCATTATCACGTGGTCGTAAGCAGCCAATCAGATGAGTTCTCTCAACCCGGCAAACGCTGCTGCACTTAGCAATCCAGAGATGGGCAGGGTCACAAGCCAGGCAATGATGATGTTCCGGAACAATTTCCAATCCACGTTTTCGTTGGATCGAACTCTGCCGACGAAGACGATGCTGCCAACTTTGCAGTGGGTGGTGCTGATGGGGATGCCGATGTTGGACGCGATGAGGACGGTAAGCGCTGAACCTATCTCGATGCAGAACCCACTGAAACACAAAACAAGCCAAGTTACATGTGGTTGGTTTAGTCGTGAACGTATGACCATCTGACAGGTTCCCGACTGTTTAGTCGGCTTTCTTCGTGACCTTCAGTCTTCATTGGTGTAATTTAATTCTAAACTAAATGCCACTACTTTGGACCGTTCTTTCTCTTAGGTACCATAAGGGCGGTCGGGTAACCTAGTGGTTAAAGCGTTCGCTCGTCACGCCGATGACCCGGGTTCGATTTCCGATATGGGTACAATGTGTGAAGCCCATTTCTGGTGTCGCCCGCCGTGATATTGCTGGAATAGTGCTAAAAGTGGCGTAAAATCATTCTCACTCACTCACTAAGGTACTATACACCTGGACCACATTACTGTAGGCCTGTCTTTCTCAGTGGTTCTATACCTCATTTGGATGATGATGTTTTAGGCAGAAAGTTTCAAATGTTGACGTAAGACACCTAGATCAGATACCTTAGACCGTTCTTCCCACATGTGACCATATGACATCTGGATCGTGTTACTTTACACTGCTCCCCCCCCCCCCCCCCCCCCCCCCCCTAAGGTGACCAGAAGACACCTACACCGTGTTACTTTAGACCGTCCTTCCCCCATGTTAACATGAGACACATAGATGGCACCACTTCAGACCAGTCTTCCTCAGTGATTCTATAACCCACCTAGATGGTGTTACTTTGGACAGATCTTCTCCCATGGTCTTCATGACTCTCCTGCCAAGAACACACAGTCCGATTGAGATTCCCACACCTCCGTACAGCAGGATCCAGACAGGAGTGGCTGCCTTCTGTGATACTGTGCCATCGATTGATATCATCCACAGCGCCACCACTGGGCCGATAGCATTACTGGACAAAATGAATGCATAAGGTGTATACCATCACCATTAATACCATGAACAACAATAATCGCAATATTCTTCATGTAAGTGGTAATGTTTAAAAACACAAAATTATAAAGTAAGGAGTGAATTGATATCCTCTGGTGAGTAACCTGGTTAGGTGTCATTATACCAAATTGTGCTCATGCTATCAACCACTGGCCCTGGATCGAATATTTATATGCGGTCATGACATAACTGTTATACTGGTGAGTGAGCACGACACACGTGTTATAGGTTCAAGGTGTCTGCAAACCCAAACGTCTAACAGATTTATCATTAGATTTAATTTTTATCTGACAAACATTTATGTCCTGGTTTCTCGAATTCAGTTTTCTGTGCGAGTATTCTGGGGAGGAATAGGTCCCCAGTACCCCTATGCTTTCCGTAGGAGCCCAATACAATAAGGGTCGGGGGGTGACAATGTTCCATCATACCCTGACGGCGTATTTTGCTGTCAGTCAGTATTTTAGCTCGATTCAGACCACTGTGATATAGCTATATACTGTGATATAATTTCAGGCCTCTTTCCTTTTATTAAATGCCCCTTGCACAATATAAACAACGGGAAAATCTTACCTGACGTCATTTCCGCCATGCGCAAATGACCCAAACACTGCGGTGAGAATTTGAAGGAATGAGAAAAGTTTGGCCGTTTCCGGTTTGTCTTCCACATTCTTACGAGCCAATGCTAGTCGCGCCTGCAAAGAATATGAAGGTGACGATATGAACACTTCAGTCTCTAAGTAAAATATGTTTCGAATGTGTCAAAATCTAGTCTATATGATTAATCATTGTTTAAAACCCCATTAGCAGCCTTTTCGTGGGGACATAATTCATAGGTATCAGCTGGTAATTTTCAATGCATCAGCGCCGACTGACCTCATTGTCTGTTTCAAGTTCCCCTTCCGTTTCACCGGTGCTGATGGACACATCGGCGTCTCCCTTACCTGCTGAAAATAAGGTAACGTCGTCAGATTTCAGTGAGTTTTATTTTTTAATCTTTTAGCACTAGTCAACCAATATCATGGCCGGGCACACCAGGAATGGACTTTACCAATTGTATATATACAGGGAGCCGAACCCGGGTCAATGGGTGTTCGAGCGAATACTTTAACCGCTTGGCTACTCAACCGACCTACCTCGAAAAGAATGTCAGTGAGTAAGCGGTATTCCAGTTATATCATGGCGCGTCAGCTTGATGCAGGAGGAAATACCGAAGTGATGCCGTTCCTAGACGTTTACCACTTTGGTGATTTTGTTTGTTTGTTGTTCAACGCCACACTCAGCAATATTCCAGCTATATCACGGCGGTCTGTAAATAATCGAGTCTGTACCAGACAATCCAGTGATTGACATCATGAGCATCGATCGAAGCAATTGGGATACTATGACATGCAACAACCAAGTCAGCGAGCCTGACCACCCGATCCTGTTAGTCGCCTCTTACGACAAGCATAATCACCTTTTACGCCAAGCATGGGTTGCTGAAGGCCTATTCTACCCCGGACCTTCACGGGTTACCACTTTGGAGAAACCCACGGTATGGTGCTGACAAACCAAGAAACACAATGGAGCGCATCTTGGATTCGAACCCATGATCATTTTATTGTGCATACGTCATAATGAACTATCTAGGGCTAATAAGGTAAAACAAGTGAACCAAACCACATTGAACATTGGGTACAATTTCATACCAATCCAGCCAGCTATAGTAAAAAGTGTTGCATATATCACATTATTAGCATGGACTATCAATAGACAGTGAAGCAAATACTATCAGGACTTTGTTGGTGACAGATGAAAGGGGTTTGGGGTTTGGGGTTTGGGTTAAATGCAAAGAGTTTTCACCTTCAGGGCCGCCATTGAGCAACTTATGTGTTTGTTCGTCTTCCTGGTTATTTGCAGCCTCGTCCTGAAACCATCACGTGACAATGAAGATATATCCTGTTCCAGCTTACACTTCAATATACATCTAGTTCCGGATTGGCCAAAACGATTTTTAATAGTTTATGGTAACATTATTTAGTTGGAAAAAATATATATTTCGAGACACAATATGTACAAGTACATGTAACTGTATCTGAAACAAATCAGCTACATACCTTTGTGTTGTGGTTACTATCTCCGGTGGCTGAAACAAATAAGAATATCTATGAGGGACTATCTACAGGACGACTAGGTAATAACAACTCGCGATCTACTTCAGCCATGACAGTTGTATATTAGTATTAGCAAGGTATTATCGTGATAGTTAATTTACAACGGATCGCAATAGAGTAGGCTTACTTACCTATTAAATATGTCATAGGCAAAATGTTTTTGTTTTCGTTAAATGTTCAACTACTATGACTTATCAATTGCGATTGATCGATACCGATTTTCTAAAGTGAGATCGGTAAACAAGTAATCTGCTATTGGCGACTCAAGGGGAGCTGGGGCTACTCAGTGTCATCGGGGTATCACTATTTTGGGGAAAGATAGTGTAGAATATGTGCTTTACATCACTTCCTGTTATGAATTATGCATAATCATTATGCAAATGACCTAGGTTGGGTCAACGGACATCAACGGTTCATCGGACAAACAAATGGGTTCTTTTCTTACAAATTTCGAATGGAAGTACGGATAATGCCACTTCAAAAATATTCCAGAAATACATATCAAGACGTTACTATGGTTACTTCAAGTGGCCGTGACATTCCTCAGCGAGTCCTGAATTCGATGAAATATCGTGCTTGGTTAACAGCCGACACAGTGTTGGGTTTAATGCCGCTTTGAACAGTCTTCATTTTTGTTTGTTTGTTTCTTTGTTTGTAGGGGGCACGGGTGGCCCAGTCGTCTAAGGCGCCGCGATTCGCTGTGCAGAGCCGCGTCCCTCGGGCACGCCAGAAACCTAGGATTGTGGGTTCGCCCCGATTATGTTTCTAGGTTTGTCAGCACCATACCCGTGGGTTTCACCGAAGTGGTAAACGTCAGAGACCTGCATCACTTTGGGCTTTCCACCCACATTAAGCTGACACGCCGCGATATAACTGGAATACTGTTAAAAGCGGCGTTAAACCCAACTCACTCACTCACTCACCCCATTCTTTGTTTGTTGTTTAACGCCGCTCTCGGCAATATTCAAGCTATATGACGGCGGTCTGTAAATTATCGAGTCTGGACATCATGAGCATCGGTATACGAAATTGGGATACGATGACATGCATCAACCAAGTCAGCGAGCCTGACCACACGCTCCCGTTAGTCGCCTCTTACTAGTTATATCACGGCGTGTCAGCTTAATGTGGGAGGGAAGCCCGAAGTGATGCAGGTCCGAGACGTTTACCACCTTGGTGAAATCCACGAGCACAGTAAGATACTGACAAACCTAGAAACATAATTGGAGCGAACCGGGATTTGAACCCACAATCATAGGTTTCTGGCGTACCCAAGGGACGCAACTCAGGGGACGCAACTGTGTAAATCGAATGTCTCCATCTGTTTCATATCCATACCTGACTCCGGTGTGGGTGGTACATAGATATCGACTTTAGGCTCGGTTTTCTCGCCCTCTTCGGACTCAGTGAGACGCACAACGGCCGTATAAGCTGAAACCACAAAGAATCCCAGATGCACACATATGGAATATGAAAAAACTATATATGACTTTTTTTATGGGGTGGAGGTCCTAAAATAAATCAACTCACCCTGTATTCTTTTCCGTTGCCAGGGAACGATGACGAAGTACACAAGCAGCGCCACCACAAGGCCAAGGCCGAACGACAGTATGAAGACACCATACAGAGGAATACGATCAAAGTGCAACACTGAAATAAGGGATAATGTTGCCATGGATACATGAATAGATTGCAATACGTAGATACTCTAAATATAGTAAGAATCCGGAATCATGCAGTACGTAAGATATGTCGAGTCTTGGACAGATAAGGTGGCACGGGAGGCCCAGTCGTCTAAGGCGCCACAAATCGCTGTGCAGAGTTGCGTCCCTTGGCCGCGACAGACACCTATGATCGTGGGTTCGAATCCCGGTTCGTCACGATTATGTTTGTAGGTTTGCCAGCACCAAGACCTGCATGACTTTGGGCTTTCCTCCCACATTAAACTGGTATACTGTTCAAAGCAGCATTATACTTACTCACTCACTCACTCGGACAGATAAACCAGTGGTTGATAATATGAAGTGGTGGGGTTAATATGACTAGCAATCAGCAAGGTCACACAGAGTCAACATCCGATCCTAATCTTAGTCGACTATTATGACAAGCATGGTTTATAAGCGAATTGGGGTCAATTCTTCCCGCCCCCAGATCATAAACAAATGTCCGTTCCGGGGAGAACACACGCAGTGTGATCAGGGGGTGTCTGTTTTGAACAGTAGAGTAGTCATCTCTGAAATACAGGGACAGGGATACAAGCAATATTCGACAATTATCATGGCGAGAAATCGTACCCATGTGGAGAATCGAACCCGGGTCTTCGGCGTGATTGGCCAACGCTTTAACCACTCGGCTACCTAACCACTGCTCAGAAATATAGAAATATGAAAAACTTATTGATCGAAGACTCACTTTCAGATCCTTCGTAGAAAACGGAGAAGGCATTGATGACCACAGTGACGCCATAAAACACTGGGAGGAGACGCAGTCCTGGTTCGAGGGGCTTTTCCTGGTGGAGAGAGAAAGGTGAGGTGAGGTGAAATTGGGTTTAACGTCGCGTCCAAGATTATTGCACTTATATAGCGACGTGCATGCACGTGTATGTGTGTGTGTGGCTGCTTGTACTAGTCCGGACTGATGCCGATTTATAGTGCTAGCTCACTGAGATACCATGCCGCAGTTTAACATGAATACCCCACTCAGACACAGTATACTGACTCCGAGCCGACCAGTCCTTGTTTTAGCCCCTTAATGCCGAGCGCCAGACAGGGTAACAACAAGTACAATCTTTTAACGTCTTTTTGTATGACGCGGCCCGGGATCGAACCCTGGACCTTCCGCTCTCCGGGCGGACGCTCTACCACAAGACCACGGAGGCGGTCCCGAGGAGAGAGAAAGGTCGAGTATACATTGCAACTCCGCTATTACGAACCAGAGTTGATTCCTATACAGTGTAATTAACGTTCTTGTTCAATAAAGACATCTTTATTAAATACATCAGAGTTGGTGAGCTGGCTCGTGGGCATTTCACAATGAGAGCAAATAAGATCTACCCCAGGGTCCCTTTCTTGAAGCGATCTTAGTGCTAAGGCGATCATATACTTAAATCTAGACTGTACTCCCATGAAAAAGGGGACCATTAAGAACAAACATATGCAAGCGTCATTAAATTACAAAGTTATGCATGTGCATATGGATCATGATTGAAGCATTATCTGAAATGACAAAACAGCGATCGAATGTTCTTAGAGGGAAGTCGGGGGATCTCACCTTATTGAGGACGAACTTGCGGACCAGGAAAAACAAGACGGATGAAACAATACCGGACATGACTGGGCTGATGAACCAGCTACCAACTGAAACACAATACGTACACTTTTTGAGAGGAAGCGTACTGAAGGAGTGAGTGAGTGAGTTGGGTTTAACGCTGCTTTTAACAGTATTCCTTTTATATACCACTCCGGGGAAACCCACGAGCACGGTATGGTGCTGACAAACCTAGAAACATAATCGGGGCGAACCGAGATTCGAACCCATAACCCACAATCATAGGTTTCTGGCGTGCCCAAGGGACGCAACTCTGCACAGCGAATCGCGGGAACTAAGACGACTGGGCCACCCGTGCCATCCGTACTAAAGGAAAAAAACAACAATTTAAGTTGAATAAGTTTCACTTTTGAGGATCTAAATGACGGATATCCGTTGGACAAAATGACAGCACCTTTCTTTGACTAATGTGTTTGTTGTTTTTGTTGTTGTTTGTTGTTTAACGACGCACTCAGCAACATTCCTTGGCAAGTAAATCCCATGGCATGATGAGCATCGATCTACGAAATTGGGATACGATGACATGCATCAACGAGCCTGACAACTCGATCCCCTTAGTCACCTTTTACGACAAGCATAGTCACCTCTGACGGCAATAATAGGCGATTATGCTTGTCGTAAGAGGCGACTAACGGGATCGGGTGGTCAGGCTCGCTGACTTGGTTGATGAATGTCTTCGTATCCCAATTGCTTGGATCGATGCTCATGATGTCAATCACTGGATTGTCTTGTCCAAACTTGATTATTTACAGGCCGCCGTCATATAGCTGGAATATTGCTGAGAGCGGCTTTAAACAAAAGAAAATAAAAAAAAAAGACAACCGTGCAACAAGTGGTTGTAAGTTTCGCTAAACATGTCAGACACGGACAAACCAAGCTGGATTGCCGTCATGTGCAGGAATTGAGGCGTCTTCATGTGCTACACCAGATGGTACTGTGACGTAGGCGCCGGGAATTGAAATCGATAAGAGTTGATCGATAATTGTTGTCACCCATACGTGTTCACTAGAGCGTATCCACAAGCACACAAAGAATGATTTTGTCGAAGCTCACCTTGAACACAAAACTCAACATCTTTCAAGCGAACTGAATACAATTAGTTCATACTAAGGTAGCCTTTTGAACGAGTCATTGTGACAAGATATCCCTCACAAAGACGTACGGTGTCATGTATATAAATGCAGTCAGGATTATTCAAGTCAGCTGCCTCTATTCGTTTCCTTTCACATGATCATTATTCATATTTCCTGACGCAGAGATCTAAAGATCCAGAGCCAGCGGTGCTATAACGTCACACCACGCGTTGAGAACGCTTTGTGAAGCGTTGACAACGCTTTGTGAAGCGCTGACAAGTTGATACAGTGATTATTATTTCATCTCCACCCAAGAACACTTCGACCACACTCGTGTGTGTGTATGGTTTTTACGCCGCTTCTAGTAATATTCCAGCAATATCACGGCGGGGGACATCCGAAATTGGCTTCTCACATTGTACCCATTTTGGGAATCGAACCCGGTCTTCGGCGTGACGAGCAAACGCTTTAACACTAAGCTACCACCGCCCCTCTACAATCGTGGGTTCGTTCTATCGGGGTGTAAGGCATTGTCCTCCCTCCCCTTGTTTTTGGGTATGTTGCCAAGGCCAAGAATCGGAGCTCACAGTTTTTTCAATACACTACTTACTGATCAGGCCTAACTTCATCCAGCCGATGCCTCGGGCGCCATGAGCCACTACAGAGAAACCTATGGTAGCCCCGACAATGCTGTGTGTCGCGGAGATTGGCAGGCTGGCTATTGTTGCCCCGATCAGCATCACACAAGATCCTGTGAGATAAATTAGATACATTAGTGAGTGTGTGAATGAGTTGGTTTTAACGCCGCTTTGAACAGCATTTCAGTTGTATCACGGCGTGTCTGCTTGTTGTGCGAGAACGTTGGTTGGTTGGTTTGTTGTTTAACGCCGCACTCAGCAATATTCCAGCTATATGACGGCGGTCTGTAAATAATCGAGTCTGGACCAGACAATCCATTGATTGATATCATGAGCATCGATCCACGCAATTGGGTATCGATGACATGCATCAACCAAGTCAGGAGCCTGACCACCCTATCCCGTTAGACGCCTTTTACGACAAGTATAGTCACCTTTTACGCCAAGCATGAGTTGCTGAAGACCTATTCTACCCTGGAATCTTCATGGGTCTGTGGGAGGAAGTGATGCAGGTAACGTTTGCCATGATCGTGAAACACAGGAGCACCGGTTGGTGCTGACAAAGCAAGAAAGATCATCTGGATTCGATCCCACGATCATTTGTTTCTAGAACGCTAAAGGGAGACTGTCGCAATACAAGGTTCACTGTCAATAGGTGCAAGTGTTTTAATGTGTGTAGCTGTACCACCGTTTGAGTGTATGTGGCACACATCTACATGTATGTGGGACTAATGTTTTTTTCTCATATCAAGAGGGCAAGAAGGGAACAAGTTGACCCACCTGAGAGAGCGGCAACATTGCCCACCATGAGTAAGGCCTCGCTGCCATTATATGCACTCACGTCGATAATACCCTTCCGTATTGTGTCTGACACTCGGGATCCTGCAACAATGAAGACTCAGATATCAAGGCGTTCAGATATCAAGTTATTACTGCTCTGCCGTTGATATCTACACCAGGATATAACACATGATATCATCATGAAGCGCACCATAAAACTGTGTACTGCTCAAAGGGCTGAGACCCTGTTTAAGTCCGTACTTTGCAATGCAGCGAACCGCTTCTGGTCCTTGAATGACATACGATATACCAAATGGCCGGTGGACAACGAGAAATGAAGTCTCGTTCTCGAAGCCCAGTTAGTGATCATTTGTATCACATTTACGTTTCGTTTTACCTGTTTTGCCAGTCAAGAGTTAACGAGTAAGGAGTTAAACGCCGCTTTGAGCATAAGTATGGTGGCATCACACAATTACAGTTTAACAGACGAACAACTAACATTGACGATCACCGGTTAGGCGAAACACACTTCATTTAGTAATTGAATGCCCGGGATTTGGGCGAGCTTAATGGGTTCTTTTCGGTCAGTGCTTTGAACAGTATTTCTGTTTTACGTCAGGTTATTATAACTTGCTCACCCATATCACTAAGTTCATAGTGAGCAGGTGAGTTGGGTTTAACGCCGCTTTTAATACTATTTCAATTATATCACGACGTGTCAGCTTAATGTGGGATGATAGCACTAAGCGACTGCAGGTCTCGGACTTTTACCACTTTTTGTGTAACCCATGAAAACCACATTATGGTGCTGTGAGAAACGGAGAAACATGATCGGGGCTAACCGAGATTCGAACCCATAATCATAGGTTTCTGGGGAAAGGGACGCAACTCTGCACAGCAAAATGCGGTTCCTTAGACGACTGGGCCACCCGTGCCCCATGACCAGTACGTAAGTGAGGTGAGATGAAATGGATGTCATTTTTGCACTTATATAGCGACTGAATGTATTTCCTGACGTTTGGAATAGTGTTGATATTAATTATATATATGCACACATTTCCAGACATTCCGAATCATTGGGTTATATTTACATGTATGCCAAGTTTGGGAATGTATGGGAATGTTGGAGGAACGCACACACTAACATCAGTGTTCATACCTGTCCATTATCCTGACATGCGTGTTATGTTAGCGACACAAAACCAAATGACATTTACATGTGTGTGCACACCATTTGGAATACTTTGGACAGTTTGCAATTTCAAACGTTAGAACTGAATCACTTCCCTAAAGTTTCCAGGTACAGAAATTAATAGGAAATTGTACCCATTATAACCATCCGACCATTAATCGGCCCATACGAAAAGGATGGGATACAAGTACCGATTGCAGTTCCTTTCCACTTCTCAGAAAAATAACGTGGTTGTGTGGTCGTAAACGCAAACACGGCAAAAACCCATGCCACAAAAACCCAAAGAGAACTGTCAAATGACCGCGACAGACTGACTGAGGTTGGGGATTTAACGTGCGCTTTCCGACTAACAGCGTATGTCGCACACGGGACCGCGAGTAATTACATAGCGAATACGCAGCTTCGAAAAATCGGTAAGTGCGAAGTTTCGAATGATTGTCCGAATGTAAGGGATACAATATTTATCGCCCATCCCTTCCTTCGTACTCCATTAATCTTCTATTCATCGTGAGTGCCATTAAACCATAGCCCTATCATATTGCTTGATTGTTAGTCTGTGGAGGCGATCAGATTCAGGTGGAATGAGAATATTGGAGCAGATCCCCTATCAGGGGATAGTTCTTCTCCATGAACTGTTGTTTTCCTTCAGTAAACTGATACGGTAAAGAGTGTCAAGTGGATACTTTGTAGAGTGACATGTGTATGACTACTGTTGGTGCACACCTCCGAAGATGTGAAGATCATTTGTTACGTCAGTCATTCTTACGTCAATCATTCTTATCTTCCAGAGGTCGCACATGTGTAATAGCAATCATTCTTTGAATTCACAGGAACATGTTATAAAACGTCAATCATCCTTTACATTCGGTACACGCAAGAGTCACGACAATCATGCTTTACATTAACTGGACGCGCCAGAGTAATGTCAGTCATTCTTTACATTTACTGAACGTGCCAGAGTAATGTCAGTCATTCTTTACATTCACTGAACGCGCCAGAGTAATATCAGTCATTCTTTACATTCACTGAACGCGCCAGAGTAATGTCAGTCATTCTTTACATTCACTGAACGCGCCAGAGTAATGTCAGTCATTCTTTACATTCACTGAACGCGCCAGAGTAATGTCAGTCATTCTTTACATTCACTGAACGCGCCAGAGTAATGTCAGTCATTCTTTACATTCACTGAACGCGCCAGAGTAATGTCAGTCATTCTTTACATTCACTGAACGCGCCAGAGTAATGTCAGTCATTCTTTACATTCACTGAACGCGCCAGTGTAATGTCAGTCATTCTTTACATTCACTGAACGCGCCAGAGTAATGTCAGTCATTCTTTACATTCACTGAACGCGCCAGAGTAATGTCAGTCATTCTTTACATTCACTGAACGCGCCAGAGTAATGTCAGTCATTCTTTACATTCACTGAACGCGCCAGAGTAATGTCAGTCATTCTTTACATTCACTGAACGCGCCAGAGTAATGTCAGTCATTCTTTACATTCACTGAACGCGCCAGAGTAATGTCAGTCATTCTTTTCATTCACTGAACGCGCCAGAGTAATGTCAGTCATTCTTTACATTCACTGAACGCGCCAGAGTAATGTCAGTCATTCTTTACATTCACTGAACGCGCCAGAGTAATGTCAGTCATTCTTTTCATTCACTGAACGCGCCAGAGTAATGTCAGTCATTCTTTACATTCACTGAACGCGCCAGAGTAATGTCAGTCATTCTTTAAATTCACTGAACGCGCCAGAGTAATGTCAATCATTCTTTACATTCACTGAACGCGCCAGAGTTATGTCAGTCATTCTTTACATTCACTGAACGCGACATAGTAATATCAGTAATGCTTTACATTCACTGAACGTGCCAGAGCAATTTTACTATTGGACACGAGTTTATCTTGATGCCTATCCGTCTTATCTTCCCTCACTCGTGGTGGAAACGTGCTCCAACCATGTGAAGCATTCGCCCGCATTTACAGGATTATGTCCAGGTCCTGACCCGGTCAAGCCACACCCTGACAGCAACCCGTTCATGTGTACCAATTTAACTGTAAAGGGATATCTTGACCCATGAACGGGTTCAAATACAGGGTAGCACATACTGCGCCCATGTGATCGAGTGAATGATATTTTAGGGCGCAGTCAGTAAGATTCTAGTTGTATTGCATCAAGGACGCAAGTAATCGAGCCTTGGCCAGACAAACCAGTGATTGATATTATGAGCAACGGTCCACGTCGTCTGGGTAGGATGGCACGTAATCAACCAAGTCAACGAGCATGACCACCCGCACCATTTTACAACAAGCATAAGTTAATTGGGTCCCCTTTTCTAACGCGGTATCCCGGGTTTAACGTCACGGTGGAAATAGGCTTCACGCATTGTACACATGTGAGATTCAAACCCGGGCTGGCGTAAATAGCAAACGCTTTCACCACTAGGCTACCCTGGCGCCTTATACCCATATGGGTAATGGAACCAGTCGGGCAAAAGTACCTCCCCCACCCTACACTCCGAGAGAAAATAAAAGAAGAATATCGGACGGTACTTACCAATAAGGATGGCGCCTGCAACTTCAAATATGGTGGCCAAGATGCATGCTTGTCGGAGGCTGAGTACCTTGGCACCCACAGATGTACCAAAGGAGTTGGCGACGTCATTGGCGCCGATGCCAAACGCCAGTACAAAGGCGATGATGAAACCAACTATCACCATCCATAGCCATTCTTCCGGTACAAGCATTTTGGGGGACAATGCAGGGAACTATGGCAAAACGTCTGGAACAGACAAAAATATGGCAAAGTAAGGAACGTGCTTTCTGAAAACAGTAAACCACATTTGCTATCCTATAACAGCAACATAATTTGAAAACGGGTGAATATGGACATGTTTAATTTATCTAACCCTCCAATCACCTGAGCCTTGGGGCAGTGAGTGAGTGAGTGAGAGAGTGAGTATGGTTTTGCACCGCTTTTAGCACTATTCCAGCAATATCACGGCGGGGGACACATGGGCTTCACACATTGTACCCATGTCGGGAATCGAACCCGGGTCTTCGGCGTGACGAGCGAACGCTTTAACCACTAAGCTACCGACCGCCCCTTGGGGCAATGATGTCCCAGGGGGATTCCACGCGCAATATGTTTTGAAGCCTTGCGCCCCTTTGCCGTACCAGGATCCGATGATCGTGGGTACTGAGTGAGATCCTAAGTTTGACAGCACCATGCCCATGTTTGTGTCTTTCCTTAAAGTTGTAAACATTTGAGACTTAAGTCGCCTCGGGCTCCATCCAACATTGTGCCGACACGCCATTAAACTAGTTGTGAAGATCCCTTGCATTACTTCCACAAATACGATGTTACCTCGAAAAAATGGGTTCTGCAATAGTGTACAGCGAGACCAAACAAGAAAACAGCTTTGTCACTGTACCCCGCCATGGCGCCCATTAGAATTGTGTTTGTTCATGTCGTAATGAATATAAGCTATAAAAAGCTATAAAAAGAATCTTATAAGGCCTGTAGAAGAGATTGGCACTTGGGCTTTATGTCATCAGAAAAAATGATTAAATGTGAAATTAATACACACAAAAGGCCATATTTCTCTGGAAAAAACCCAACTCAGTCTTGATAAGTATCTCTTTGACAAGTATCTCATAGATAAGCATGGAAACTTTCATTCACGCAACTTCAGTAGTTTCTGAGAAAACTTGTCCCCATTGCACACATTATGCACAAAGTAAAGTAACATGGATTAAGGGCTCTAATTATGTAATAAAATAATTTACGGGGCCAATTTTCGAACTCAGTCTTCAACTCATATATAAGCATGTTAACTGTCATTCATGCAACTTCAGTAGTTTCTGAGTAAACATGTCCCCATTTCAGTAAGGGCCATAACTATGTACAAAATGAATTTACACACGACACCAATTTGAGACTTTAATAGTTTTTGCGAAACTTTGTCCCCTTTGAGAAGCGGGCGGACGGACGAACACCGTTCCTATATCCTCCGGCCCACTTTGTGGTGGCCGTTGTTTCAATTCCAACATAAACAAAATACGGCATGTTATTTTAATGTTACAAATACAGACCGACCCTGTCTGTAGGAAAGCCCAACCGCTTTAGTTCGGTCTTACTAAATACTTTTCAACTTATTAACTCATGGTGATTGAGTTTTGTGGAGACAAAACCTGTCGCTGACGCAAGAAGCGATCTCTGTGGGAATCGACAAATGGAACCCTATCATAGGATTCGAAACAATAAATATAATTCGAAAGATAAGATATGTTAGGTATATAAGCGACGCGTGAAAACTACCAGCAGCAGACAGAAGGACACTGTACATTATGCAAACTACCAGCAGCAGACAGAAGGACACTGTACATTATGCAAACTACCAGCAGCAGACAGAAGGACACTGCACATTATGCAAACTAACAGCGGAAACATTTCGCGAAGCACACGTAGAACGTGCTGCAGGCGAATAACGGAGTCCTATTGACAAAGGTACAAGCATCAGTTCTGAAAAGTCGCATTAAAATAATAAAATCCTTCTTCTTTGATACTACAGAGTGTGTGAGAGTGAAAATCTTACGAAACAATGAAAACCTTGTATCCTACTTCTACGTTCCTGTCTTCGGTCGGTGGCGTCCGAAAGTTGGTGCAGTTCTTGTACACGTCTTCGCGCGTTGAACCAAAAGCGGCTTACTTCAGACAAAGCTTGTCTATGAATAAATTATGTGGACTCAAAAACATAGATAACACTGGCTGGATGTCTCTGTTGACAAAAAGTGTTGAATGAATTTGACGCGTGTTGATAACGGCCTAATCAGAGGTCAACCGCATGCCAACGCCAAGGTCCACCGAAATCACTGAATAAACATGACTGTCAAATGACGGTCAAATCTAGCTAATCCATGTTTTGTTTCCTGTAAATCGGGTAGATATACTAGAAATTCTTGCTTTCTTGAAAGGCATCTTTGAAAACATCTCAAATCGCATGATATTGATACTTTTACGGTTGGCGTACAAGGTGCTTTGAACACCATCTCTGTTATACAACAACTTAATGCTACATCTTGTGAAACCCACGGGCATGACAGACCAAGTTTCATACTCAGAGCGAATTTTGGTTTCCAGTTCACGACCCGCGGATCCTGTCACGGATAAGGGGCGCAACTCTGAAAAGGAAATCAGACCACTGGCCCACCGGTTCCACCCCCCCCCCCCCCCCCCCCCCCCACACACACACACACACTTTACAATATAATTAACAATAATAAAATCAATACATATTACACCAAATAGATAGATAAATGAGATATATTACAATAGAAACAAACGGGCAAATATAAAAAATAACCCCAAACAAACAAAACGACATTCCACAGTCCCCAGGGGATAAAAAGCCTTTCCAGCCTCACCTTCATCGGATTCACACGAATCAGAATCATACTTAACCTACAAGTATAACATCGTTTCTTGGTACGACACAAGTGTTATTATCAACTACAAAATTATTATCTATGTCCGGCGTAAATGTTAATGCGCGAGACGCTGGCATCGTCCTTCACCAACCTGTGCATGTAATACTGCATGCGTGAAACACACGGCAAACATCAGTGAATTCACCTACCAATAGCGCCTCTCTTCGCCAGGTCTGCGTTAACACGAGTGAATGCACACTTACCCTGGGGAAACACTTGTTTACAAAGCCGGAGTCACGAGTGAAGATTACTGCTTATCTTTTGTATTAACAAGTTACTTTTATGTCATCTCAACGAATTATCTGGGCTTCAGGGAGTCCGTTTCATTGGCTGCATCGAAGAACAAAGGGCGGAGTTTAATCTTTGATGATACTTGCAAGCTCTTGCTATATTGGTCAGATAAAAGCAGCTTTTATAACACGTTACCTAATTATTTTAGTGAGTGTTTTTGGTTTGTTGTTAAACGTCGTGGTCGGCAATAGTTCAGCAATAGTTCAGCAATATCACAGCGGCCTGTAAATAGTCAAGTCTGGACCAGACAAACCAGTGACTTATTGAACAACACCCCACGCCATCGGGTTCAACATCAGACAAGTCACCGAACCAGTAAGTCTCACTAACCCGTGTAGATCCCGGTAAGTGAGTGAGTGAGTGAGTGAGCTGGGTTTAACGCCGTTTTTAATATTATTCCAGTTATATCACGGCGTGTCAGCTAAATGTGGGAGGAAAGCCCAAAGTGATGCAGGTCTCAGACGTTTACCACTTCGGTGAAACCCACGAGCACGGATATGGTGCTGACAAACCTAGAAACATAATCGGGGCGAACCGGGATTCGAACCCACAATCCTAGGTTTCTGGCGTGCCCAAGGGACGCAACTCTGCACAGCGAATCGCGGCGCCTTAGACGACTGGGCCACCCTTGCCCCCTCCCTGTGAGAATAGGTCTTCAGCAACCCATGCTTGCTGTGAAAGGCGACTTTGCTTGTCGATGGAGGCGACTAACGGGATCGGAAGGTCAGGTTCGCTGACTTGGTTGATGCATGTCATCGATCCCAATTGCGTTCATCAATGCTCATGATGTCAACTATTCAGCTGCCAGGTCCAGACTCGATTATTTACAGACCGCCGTCATATAGCGACGTTAAACAACAAACAAACAAACAAACAAACTTAGTCTATTACAAACATATAGGTTGCTGGGGACCTAATGGCATCCGGAAGCCTCACGGTATTGATCTGGAGGCAGATCTGATGTGTCATAAGAGAGGATACTGTGAACTGCAGTTTTTCTGCAATATGTTCCGTTTATTGGTACTTAAAAATTTCATATACAACGTACCAACATTTGCATAAACAGTCCGATCGTTCTGTTAAACAAATTCTATTGCTGCAAATAAATGAATTGGGCCAGGTGGAAGTGACATTATCGCTGCGGCATGAGTAAATAAGTGAGTCGGGTTTAACCAGTTTCAACAATATTTCTGTTATATCACGGCGTGTCAGCTCCTGCTGAAGCAAAAGCCGAATGTGATGCAGGTCTTGGAGGTTTACCTCGTCAAGCCCACAAGCACGGGTACGGTGCTGACAAGTTTTTCAATCAGCGTGAATATGCGACTCAAACCCCAAATCATCAGATCCTGGAACAGATAATGGCGCAAATCTGCACAGCGAAATGTGGGCCTTCGCCGACTGGTTCGCCGTGCCCTTGAATCCAAAGACTACTTAAACTAATGAGAAGGTATACATGCGTTTACATTTATTAAGAATTGACTTCCATATCTTTTGGCGTTTATGGAGGTATACACGTAAAATATAACGAAGTTAATGCTTATTAATAAATATAGTCAGCAGTGATTATTTAATGATCAACACACTAAAAACTACTAACAACAGTACGTAATCAGTGACATCGTTCAGGGCAATAAATCAGCCAATTAGGAAACAGTAGCTTCTAAGTGGGCGTGGCCTAATTTGTTTTCGTTTTATGGAAACAAACGCAGAAAAATATTGCTAGACGCCACGGAGGGGCTGCAATTTATTTATTACTAAATGAACACAACAGTCAAACACTCTGATTACGCGGATTTTTTTTGTTCCTACAAAGAAGACAAGTGTGGAATTCTCACGCGTGACTCAGAACACATGTTTACAACCTATTTTGTTACATCATTAAAGTTGTTAAAGGACTATCATCTCGTGTTTCTTGTAATGGGGTAGACTGACACTTAGTCCCAGAGATTCTTTGGTATCAGTCAAGTTTTGACAGAATAAATAGCAAAAGTAAGTTTAAAATTAATGTTAATACAAGTATTGAAGCGGAGTAAACCCCTGTACAATCACTCACACAATTGAATCAATAGTGTGGCACACTCATTTTATTCCAAATTGTCAAGCAATTGGGTTGTGAGGTTATATTGTGGAGTGAGTGAGTGGGTATGGTTTTACACCGCTTCTAGCAATATTCCAGCAATATCACGGCAGGGGACACCAGAAATGGGCTTCACACATTGTACCCGGGTCTTCGGCGTGACGAGCGAAAGCTTTAACCACTACCCGACCGCCCTTATATTGTGGAATTCTCTGGAAATAGATCGGGTACAGTAGCTGCAAGGAAGCAGTATCTGTTTCCATGGACAATACCCGTGTGTGATGATTAACACGTAAACTAACACTGCCGCTGTGTAAGGGTAGTGTGCAGGTAAGACGACCAGCAATGTCGCCATGGACTGCCTGACTTACACAAGAGAATCGCACCTGTTGGATGCCCTAGGTCCAATTTTACTTCTTGTTAAAATACAGGTAAAAGTGACCTTGACATGGTTGCAAATGTACTTTTCAATGGCCTTGAAACTCAGTTGATAACACGACTTGTTTAAGTGTCCTTCATTTAAAGAAGAGAGGAAACAACACATCCTTAAATATTATTAGATTAAACCTAACATGTATAAAATGTATTTTCTCTTTAGCAGACAGATTGGGAACATTGAGAAAACTATCCAAGTTGTGTAAAATAATCATGATATAAAGTTCAAAGTGGAAAGAATATTACATAAATGTTTGTACAAATTCTCAGCTGTGTTCTGTTTTTGTTTGTTTGTTTGTTTGTTTGTTGTTTAATGCCACTCTCAGCATTATTCCAGCTATATGACGGCGGTCTGTAAAATAAAATCAAGTCTGGACCAGACAATCCAGTGATTGACATCATAAGCATCCATCCACACAATTGGGATACGATGACATGCATCAACCAAGTCAGCAAGCTTGACCATCCGATCCCGTTAGTCGCCTCTTACAACAAGCAAATTGGCCTTTTACGGCAAGCATGGGTTGCTGAAGACCTACTTAAACCCCTGTCTTTACGGGTCGATTAAGTGAAAGTGTGTAGGGATGGTGTATCAGTTTCTATATTACAAAATCTGTATATCTTTCATCTAATATCCAGCTATTTGTTCTTAAAAACACAATTTACTGGTTGAATATTGATATATTCGTGTGTGTGAGTGACTGCTTGTACTAGTAGGATTCATGCCAATTTTATAGTGCTAGCATACTGAGATACCATGCCGCAATTTAACACGAATACACCATTCAGACACAGTATACTGACTCCGAGCCGACCAGTCCTTGTTTTAGTCCCTTAATGCCGAGCGCCAGGTAGGGTAACAACAAGTACCATCTTCTAACGTTTTTTGGTATGACACGTCGGGGATCGGATGTCAGAATGATGAGATCTGATTGGTCCACGTGATCTTGATAAAATACTATGTCAGCTATTGAGGGTGGAGTACACGTCGGGGAGTTTGACGCAGCTTCCAACAGCATGTCAGTTATAAATGTTTGAGCTATTGAAAAATCCTCACAGGGTATTTATAGATGTCTTTTTTTTCAATCTTTTATTTTGTACTTGAGGCCTTAGACCCATATACAAAGTATACAAAGTATACGAAAATACAAATTATACATCAAGGTGATGGCGGTTTATCATACTTATATATTCAATGATAACAGAGTGTAAAGTAATTAATGATAACATGCTCTCCTCACAAGTGAAGCTTTACAGAATTTTAGCAAGTTTTCTACTATAGCTGGATCATAATCATTCATTAAATTAACAAAACATTAAATATTTCTTTGGTACAAAAAGATTTCTAAAATCATTAAAACATGGGTATTTCATTATTATGTGGAATTCATCCTCTAACTCATTTAAATTATAATTCTGACAGATTCTTTTACTTTTTTCAACATTTTTCCATCTTCCAACATTTATGTAAATTTTTGCACCTCCAGTTCTTAAAAGAGCTAAGTATCTTCTATGCATTTAATATTTATTGCAATACACATATGGTTCGGTATTTAATGAAAATTTGTATTTGCTGTTACAATCGAATCGTGTACTTTCTTTTAATTTTGCTTGCCACTCTTGAAAAGAAATATCTCTTAATCTAAGTTTAATCATACTTATTAAATAATCAATATTACCAACACCTTGAGAGAACCAGACTTCCCCAAGACCTATCAAACATAAAGATTCTCTAACATTTGTTACCCAATTTCTCCTATCACATTCATCTAAGTGTTTTAACATATCATACGACTTTTTTGTATTCTATCATCTGACATGTGTATTAATCTAGGCCAATATTTTTATACATTGCACAAATGAATGAACATATAACGGATATCTACCACATTCTCCCACAGCCATAGCATTTGGAGTTTGTGACGGTAAACCAAGAAATCTTTTACATGCATAATTCTGAATTTTCTGAAGTGGATCAAATATATTGGTGCCCCAAATATGTCTTTGACATCTTATATATAGATGTCATTGGGTATTCAATATATTTTACTCCATTAGGTCGAGTCTATTGTGTTCATATATACTAATAATAACCAATTATAATTATTTTGCTTTAAATGATGTTTCATGCAACAATTTGTGCAAGATTCGACGCTGTAGAGTTCATGTATATATTAAGTGATGTCTGCATTTGATCGGTAAATAAAGACGTGTAACGTATTACTGGCACGCAGTTAAGTCTACATTGGGTAATGACGTATAGTGTTAAATTATTGG